AACTACGCCAGGCCTTCCACCATGGACCGCGCACCGTCATCCGCCCTACGCACCGCCGAGGCAGTGGGCCAGCGCCACACCAGCAGCCGCCCCGGTTCGCCAAGATCGACTTCGCCACATACGACGGCTCCGACGACCCTCTTAACTGGCTCAACCAGTATGACCAGTTCTTCCGCGGACAGCGCACACCCGCGTCGGAGCGTACTTGGCTGGCTTCCTACCATCTCCGCGGGGCCGCCCAGACATGGTACTACGCCCTCGAGCAGGACGAGGGCGGCATGCCCCCGTGGGATCGTTTCCGAGAGCTGTGCCTTCTTCATTTCAGGCCACCGGTCCGCGGGAGCCGCTTGGCCGAGTTGGGCCGCTTGCCGTTCACCTCCACGGTGCAGGACTTCGCCGACCGCTTCCAGGCCCTGGCGTGCCACGCGCCCGGTGTGACGGCCTTACAGCAGGCGGAGCTTTTCATCGGCGGCCTTCCCGACCACATCCGCGTGGATGTCGAGATGAAGGGGCCCCAAGACCTTCAGACGGCCATGTACTATGCCCGGGCGTTCGAGCAGCGCGCCCAGGCCTTAACGCGTCCATCCGCGCCACGTGGGGGCCGACAGCTTCCCCGGCCGTCTCCGGCAGCACTGGCGTCGTCCACAGCCGCCCCGGCACCCACCCCGGCACCGACGCGGCCATTCAGGCGCCTCACTCAGGCGGAACAGCTGGAACGCCGGCGCCTGGGCTTGTGTTTCAACTGTGATGCGCCCTATGCACTGGGCCATGTCTGTCCCCGCCTCTTCTACCTGGAGACGACAGACGAGTCTGAGGAGGAGACACTGGAGGATGGCCTCGGCGCTCCAGCCCTTGCGGAGCCCGCAGCGGCACCCGCGCCCACCCCGGCCACCGCCCTCGTGGTGTCCCTACACGCGCTGGCCGGCATCCGTGATGAACGGACGATGCTCTTACCGGTCATGATCCAGGGCGAGCGCTTGGTGGCCCTAGTGGATACAGGGTCCACGCATAACTTTCTGCCGGAGACCACCATGCGGCGCCTTGCATTACAGCCAACCGGCGGTGAGCAGTTGCGAGTCACCGTCGCTAATGGCGACCGTCTCCGCTGCCACGGGCTCGCCCGCGACGTGCCCATCACTATCGGCAACGAGCACTTCACCATCACCTGCGCCGGCATCGACTTGGGCTGCTTCGACTTCATCCTCGGCGTCGACTTCCTGCGCACTCTTGGTCCTATTCTATGGGATTTCGACGCGCTGACGATGACCTTCTGGCTGTTGGGCCGCCGCATTCAGTGGGACGGCATTGGAGGTGTCGCCCCAACCACTCCACTCCAGCTGGCCGCGACCACCGCCACGGCCGAGCACCCACTATTGGAGAGCCTCCTCCAGCAGGACGCGGACATCTTCACCGAGCCACAGGGGCTGCCGCCCGCCCGCACGTACGATCACCGTATACATCTTCTGCCAGGCTCCGCGCCGGTGGCGGTACGGCCTTACCGCTACCCACAGTTGCAGAAGGATGAGTTGGAGCGGCAGTGTGCGCTCATGCTCGCGGCAGGCATCATCCGGCTCTCCACTTCGCCATTTACCGCGCCGGTGCTTCTCGTCCGCAAGTCAGACGGCACATGGCGTTTCTGCATCGACTACCATGCCCTTAATGCTGTCACACTTAAGGACAAGTTCCCTATTCCGGTGGTCGACGAGCTCCTCAATGAGCTCCACGGGGCGCGCTTCTTCACCAAACTTGACCTCCGGTCGGGGTACCACCAGGTGCGCATGCACCCGGATGACATCGCTAAGACGGCGTTTCGGACTCATCACGGCCACTTCGAGTTCTTGGTGATGCCCTTTGGCCTCACCAATGCCCCGGCGACCTTCCAGGCTTTGATGAACGACGTCCTCAGGCCCTACTTACGCCGGTTTGTGCTCGTTTTCTTTGATGATATTCTAATCTACAGTGCGTCTTGGGCCGAGCACCTCCAGCACATCGCCATCGTCTTCAACGAGCTTCGAGCGCACCACCTCCACCTTAAGCGCTCGAAGTGCTCGTTCGGGACACCTTCGGTGGCCTACTTGGGCCACGTCATCTCAGCCGACGGGGTGGCTATGGACGCCGACAAGGTGGCAGCCGTCTCCGCATGGCCGACCCCTCACTCGCCGCGGGCTCTCCGCGGGTTCCTCGGCCTCGCCGGCTACTACCGGAAATTTATCCGGGAGTTCGGGCTTATCGCGGCGACCCTCACGCGGTTGCTTTGCCGCAACGCTTTCGCCTGGGACGACGAGGCGACGACGGCGTTCGAGGCCCTCAAGGGGGCCCTCACGACGGGCCCCGTCCTCCAGATGCCCGACTTCGACCGCCCGTTTGTGGTGGACTGTGACGCCTCGGGCGCAGGGTTCGGCGCCGTGCTTCATCAGGGCAATGGGTCCCTCGCCTTCTTCAGCCGGCCTTTCGCTCCGCGTCATCTTAAGCTGGCAGCATATGAGCGGGAGCTCATTGGCCTTGTACAGGCTGTTCGTCATTGGCGGCCGTACTTGTGGGGACGGTCCTTCCAGATTCGCACCGACCACTACAGCTGAAGTTTTTGCTGGACCAACGGCTGTCGACCGTGCCGCAGCACCAGTGGATCAGCAAGCTCTTCGGCTTCGACTTCTCCGTCGAGTATCGGCCGGGCCGCCTTAACACCGTGGCCGACGCTGTCCCGTCGCGACTCCGACCTCGCTTCCTCCGCTGACAAGTCCGCCGGGGCGGCCCTGTGCATCCGCTCCGGGCCGACATTCGGCCTCTTCGCCGACATTCGCCGCGCCACTGCGACGGCCGACGATGCCGTCCATCTTCAGCAGCAGCTCACGGCCGACGACCTGGAGGAGCCATGGCGCTTTTCTGACGGACTGCTCCTCCATGGGCGCCGGGTCTTTGTTCCGGCGCAGGATGATCTCCGTCACCAGGTGTTACAGCTCGCCCACTCGGCAGGTCATGAGGGTATGCAGAAAACCCTCCATCGTCTTCGCGCCGACTTCTACATCCCTGGCGATCGCGCCCTGGTCCGCGACTGGGTTCGGTCTTGTCAGACATGCCAGCGCAACAAGACAGAGACTCTCAGGCCGGCCGGGTTACTCCAGCCCTTGGAGGTGCCATCTCAGGTCTGGGCGGACATCTCCATGGACTTCATTGAGGGCCTTCCCAAGGTGGGCGGCAAGTCGGTCATCCTCACGATGGTCGACCGCTTCTCCAAGTACGGCCACTTCATAGCGCTCGGCCATCCATACACGGCGGCGTCCGTGGCCCGGGCCTTCTTCGACGGCATCGTCCGTCTACACGGGTTCCCTGCTTCGATCGTCAGTGATCGAGACCCCGTGTTCACGGGCCATGTCTGGCGCGACCTCTTCAGGATGGCGGGTGTCCAGCTCCGCCTGAGTACGGCGTTCCATCCTCAGACGGACGGTCAGTCCGAGGTGGTTAACAAGGTCATTGCCATGTATTTGCGTTGTGTGACAGGTGATCGGCCTCGCGCTTGGGTGGACTGGCTCTCTTGGGCGGAGTACTGCTACAACACCTCTTATCACTCCGCCCTGCGCGCTACGCCATTTGAGGTGGTCTATGGTCGACCACCCCCGCCTATACTTCCAGTGGATCCGGAGATAGCTCGGACGGAGGTTGCGGGTGACCTCATCCGCACTCGTGACGAGATGCTTGCTGAGGTTCGTCAGCGTCTCCTTCAGGCCCAGCAGCTGGCCAAGCACTACTACGACGATCATCATCGCGAGGCGGAGTTCGCGGTGGGTGATTGGGTGTGGCTGCGTCTTCTCCATCGCTCTACGCAGTCCCTCGACCCGCGCGCGAAGCGCAAGCTCGGTCCTCGCTACGCCGGGCCCTTCCCTATCTTGGAGCGCATTGGAAAGGTGGCCTATCGTCTTCAGCTTCCAGCCCGCACTCGCATCCACGACGTTTTCCATGTGGGGCTGCTCAAGCCTTTCCGTGGCGAGCCACCGGCGGCTCCACCGGCGCTTCCTCCCATCGCCAATGGTCGCATTCTTCCAGAGCCGGCAAAGGTATTGCAGGCGCAGCTCCGTCGTGGCGTCTGGTTCATCCTCGTTCAGTGGGCAGACCTTCCGGAGGAGGAGGCTACTTGGGAGCAGCGTGAAGAATTCCGCCAACACTATCCAGACTTTCAGCTCGAGGACGGGTTGTTTGCGCAGGCGGGGAGAGATGTTATGACCGGTTTGGTCTATACAAGGAAGAGGCCCACCGGGCATTAGTATTAGGGGCTTGACCCACAAGTTATCTTAGGCAAGTTAGTTTAGGCAAGTTATCTTAGGCTAAAGTTATAAATACTAGTTGTAAGACATCGTTTGAGATCAAGCAATAAAGATAGTTCTATCATATTGCCCGACTCCAGAGGAGCCGGAAACCCTAGCCGCACCTTGCCCTAGCCGTCGCCGCCCTTCTTCTCCCTCGCGACGGCGCCAACACGCCGGAGCCCCCGCCCTCGCCCCCAACCCTCGCTGTTCTGCCCGTATAACCTACGGAGTAGAGCCGGTAGGAACCCTAGTCCTACCAGTTGCACTCATGGCAAAATACTGTGCATAAGGGATCAGTTTCACTTATGGCCAAGGAGCCGCTTCAGCTTCCAGATCTGAGCCTCCATGACCGCCAGAGCTGCCACATTTACCATCACAGCCACTGCGTCAATCGAGCAAAGCATCTCTGGAACCGAACACGACTGGAAAGATCTGAACAGCGCATAGTAACCATCCTCCTCCAACACCATTGGCAATGGACGAGCGGGAAGAAGCCATGCTGCCGTCAGTCCTATGATCTAAGTGCTGCCTGAAAGGGCAACCCGGGGGCCTGGCAAATGTTTCTAAAATGGTTGCTATGCTTTTCGTGTTTTATGCTTTCTGTTCTTTGAATACTCCGACATGAGAAGTAATGCAGGCAAATATTCTGAAACTGGAACAATAACCAGTAAGTAAAAATATTGACACAAATCAACTCACAGTTCACGCAAGGGCTGAATTGTCCCCAACGTCTCAGCTATTGTTCCATTCAACTTGTTATCATTCAGGTGCCTAAAGAGTAAAGACAAACCAATTTTCGCAGTAACGTATAAATAGTATGATTGTATAAACAATTTTTGAACTAAATTACAAAAGCCGAAGGGTTAGCTTACAGTCGTTGGAGTTGTCCCAGATTGATGAGATCAGGAATAGTTCCAGACAAGCTATTGTTTGCAAAAGATCTGCCAATGGTAATAGTGTCATTTTGCTAGCTTATATTTTCATTCCCTTTGATCGGTTATAAATAGAACTTACATATCAATAAGAGCAGTCAGATTTGCAATGTCAGGCGACAGAGATCCGGAGATACCCATACCTGAAAAGTTCCTGGTGTGGACCAATACAAAGAATTGTTACTGCAAACTTGCAAAGGATAAAAGAATTGCATCGTATAGATGGAAGGATCATGAGTTGAACTCACAATGAAATGACACGTATATTTTCATTTTGTCCTTCCTGACATGTAACTCCAGTCCAAGCATATCCATGAGGCATACATGGATCTCCAATCCAATCATCAGGTATGTTTTGGAGGCTTCTCTTCATACTCTCCATAGCAAGCGCTGTAAAGAAATGAAAGTACTAGGTCAATTTCATAAAAGAGACAGGCGCAAGTTAGAGCAACTTGCTGCATTGCAAGAACATCATGTAATACGCCCACAACAATATTTAAAGGACACTCACACAACCTAAAGTCAATGTGCACACTTGATAAAATATCTGAACAATACAAGTACGACTCAACGTGATGCTAAAATTGGGAGAGATGTCAAATGGTCATGTATACGCAAATTCACCCAAGGCACATTTTGATGACATGTTGCTAACACAGTACATAAACATACAACCTACCATACAAATAATTGAATCAGTGCTACCAGAATCATTACACATTTACATACATAATGTGCATTGCATCAGGCTGAACAGGAAATGTTTCATTGCCTGTTTGCATGCACTGTCAACTCAGGGGGAAACAATTGATAATAAAGGAATAAATGCAGCAAATGATGTACCATCACGTGTAATTGTCAGTCTTCCGATGGGAAAAATTCCAAAGACTTCGCCAGCATTGATAAGTGGTGGAAGAACAGACTTAGAAGTCAATATAACTCTGGTTAGGCCTGAGAGAATCCATTGAGTTGCAAAGACAGAAAGACCAGCTGATGTTACAGTCCCTTGGTAAAACTGGTAATCATTAATATTCACATCCAAGGTCCTCGAACTATTAGCCAATGTATCAGCAAAATAAAGAGAAACATAATAGCTGCCATTCTGAAGAGATATCGGCGGCCATTGCAACACCAAGGGTGCATTTTGTTCTGCTACCAAAGCTGTATTAAATACGTCAGGAGGAGGAAGATTCCAGAAATCGGCTGATGTAACGTTGTGGGTACTACTGACTGCATGTTTGCTGTCTGGAAATGGCTGCCAATAGCGGTCAAAACTGTCATCAGGGTACCTAAGTTTGAATGTAATGAAGAAAATGAAGTCAGGGATCTACAGAACTTCCTCACAAGAAAATCTACATAAAGCTTGTAATTTGTAGTCCTCTAGAAAAGGGAGAACGAAAGAAAATAAAAACATATATGATATAGGCCGACACGCTTCTTTCCTTTTTGTACTTCATTTAGTGAGCATCTTTTTAACAAGTACCTATTTGTTCCTTGGAATACACTTGTAAAGTTCTAATCACTAGTGCATGCACATGTTTCCTCAAAAAAGTAACGAGAAAGAGGTTCAGGAACTTTTGGTATTTTTGCTTAAGAATTAGGGATTCGATATGGTGAATTCTGCTTCTTTGATATTGGGGGATCATGTTCATTGCTCAACATGCTATAGGAGCCAAAGAAGCAACAGCCGCAACATGACCATAAAAATTAGAAGAGTTCTAAAGAAAGAAAACTACCAAATCAACCTACATCTACTGAATAAATGTTGTGAACCACATCCAGAGTTACTTTACATGACAAACTAAACCTCAGATCAGAAACAGCTGAAACCTAGAGCTATTCACTTCACAAAGAACTGACCCAACTGGTACTATCTTAAGATAAAAACTGGTACTGTATATGCCTGATCGACAGCATTCTCAGCCATATCGACAATGAGTCAGTTCTGCAGTCCTAATTCCTAAACCTACTCAAATTATGGGAAATCACAGAACATCTAGCACTTCATCACTAAAAGGGCACTGAAATCAAGGCCAGAGAAGTCGGCACTCACCTCTCGACGTCGCCAGTCGAGCCAAACTTGGTGCGCGCAATGAGGCCCATGGCGCTGCCCGTGAAATCGGTGGCGTTGTACACCGAATCATGGAGCTGGATGACCTGCAGCGCGTTGATGAACGGGCCGGAGTTGGTGTAGTCGGGGTTGACGCCGATGCAGAAGGTCAAGTTCCTGCCCCTGGCCGGGAACACGGCCTCGTAGTGCGAGGCGCTGCCGGCCAGGATGTCATCGGCGGTGTCGACGGCGGTCCAGAAGGTGCCGTCGACGATGAGGTCGAACACGGGCGGGGCCGTCGAGGTGGGGCCGTAGAAGAAGGTGGGGCGGAGCAGGTAGTGGCGATTGGGGTCGACGGGGAGCGCGTAGCAGAACTTAGCGGCGGGGCGGTACGGGAATACGCGGAGGGAGGCGAGGGTGGGGTCGAGGAGGCCCTGGGCCGAGAGCGGGCGGGCGGAGCCGGCGGAGACGTAGGGGCCGTCGGGGTCCCAGCGGAGGCCGCGGCTGTCGGTGGAGGAGCTCGCGGCGCCGCAGTCGAGTTGGTAGGAGAAGCCGCGGAGTCGCTGGCCGGCCGCGAGGGGGAGGAGGAGGAGGAGGAGGGCGGCGGCGGCGGCGCTGAGGAGAGGCCGCATTCTGGTGAGCCTTGCTGTTGCCGGACGATTTTGGGCGGAAATGGAGGGGAATTGGGATGGTTTCGTGCTGGGCGGGTGGGTTGACTCGGCCGGCGGGGAAGGTGGGCGCGGTCAGCGGAGAACGGGCGGCGGATGCGCATGCGCGTTCCCGGCGGCGGGTGTCGGACGTTGGGTCGGGCGGGCCGTAGGGCTCGGCTGGGTCACGCGGATCCGCGGACATTTTTTTTTGAAAATATCCGCGGACATTTTTGACAGCTCAGTTTTGTTGTCATCTTTTTCCTTTTTAAAAAAAAATCAGCAGGAGAGCTGCTAAGATTTCATTGATTGGAGAAGAGGCCGATGGCCAGAAACATGAAAAAGATAGACAGAAAAAAAACTGAAGGTATAAAAAAACATTTTTATTTTATTTTTTATTTGGTTAATCAAATAGTGTAGAAGTTAGATGAGGCTTTTTTTTACGGGTAAAACACTTTACTTCTCAAATAATAGACATGTCATTTACAAGAGAATGAGAAATAAAACCTGGAATCACAGATTCCCAAGAATTAGAGGATCTACTAACAAAAGAATTCTTGGCTAACTCATCCGCCACTTGATTTGCCTCACGGTAGCAAATGCTTGAAAGAAATGCCTCTGAACTCCATCGCTAGCTGATTGCAATCAACCACTATTGCCACATGAGGACCCAAATAATCCATGGAGTTCAAGGTGTCCACAGCAAATAAGCAATCTGGTTCAACTTTGACTAAATTGCACCCGACGCTAGCCGCTAGAAAAAGACCGTTCCTGATAGCAGTAAGTTCAGCAACATCAACGTCTTGTATATGTGGGATAAACCAATTTGCAGCAGCAATAAAATATCCTTTATCATCACGAGCTATAGCTTCAGAAGCACCTGACAAAGTATCTCCATGAAACGATGCGTCCACATTTGTTTTTACCACACCGTGACTTGGCTTCTTCCACATGCAACCATCCTTTCTGCTTGGCATTTTAGGTGATACCGACCTCATATAATTAGTCGCTAGGACCCTGATCGACAAAGCTGTCCTTTCTAGTGTTTGAACCTCAATACCCTTTACACGTTGAGGGCGTTGCCACCAGATGTACCATGCAGCGACGGCTACCAACTCGGCATTTGGGATTTCAGCTGATCCATCCGGTAATTTCATCAGCATTTCCATGGTAATTGATCCGGATCTATCATCAACTACTGCCCTCTGTATTGCTTCCTTTAGGCCAAGCTGCATCCAAATTTCTTTCACTCGATGACAATGAAACAAACAGTGTTGTATATCCTCAACCCCCACTAAACACACTGGGCATTGAGGTGAACAGGGGATATGACGTCCAGCAAGCACACAAAAACAGGAAAGAACGCCATGTAATACCTTCCATACAAAGTGCTTCACTTTCCTTGGAATCCGTAGCCGCCACACATCCTTCCAAACAAGGTTGATATGAACACTGCCTTGCCCATCTGCTCTTGTCCATTTAGAGCTGAATTGATGCTCAAACTCTCTGTGGTATGTCGATCTCACAGAGAAAGTACCTGACCGGGTATAGTTCCAACCGATGAAATCCTCGCCCATCTGAACATTTAGTGGTATTCTAAGAATTCTTTCAACATCCACAGGAGAGAACACATCACGTATAAATTCTCATCCCACTGTCCAGTATGCGGATCAATGAAGTCTTCAACTTTTGACAACATGGTTCCTCCTCTCAGAGAGATAACTCGTCGTGATGGACTTGAAGGAATCCATGGATCTTGCCAAATGTTCACTTTGGAACCCGTTCCAATACGTGAAATACACCCCCTCTGAAAGGTTTGTATGCCTGCAACAATACTTTGCCACGTATAGGACGAGCCCTTCTTAGGACCTGCTTTTAAAACATCACCATGAGGATTATACTTTGCACTCAGAACTTACGCGCACAAAGAATCAGGGTTCTGGATTAGTCGCCAACATTGCTTTGCTAACATAGCAAGATTAAAGCTGTGAAGGTCCCTAAAGCCCAATCCCCCCTTTTTCTTTGGATTGCACAACTTCCACCATGCAAACCAATGCATTTTTCTTTTCTCCTCATTGTCTCCCCACCAAAAACTAGAAACTTCATATGTGATAGCCTTGCAAACTCCCTTTGGCAATTTAAAAACAGACATAGCATATGATGGAATTGCTTGTGCTACTAATTTCACTAGGATTGTTGGGGAACGTAGCAGAAATTCAAAAATTTCCTACGTGTCACCAAGATCTATCTATGGAGAAACCAGCAACGAGGGGAAGGAGAGTGCATCTACATACCCTTGTAGATCGCTAAGCGGAAGCGTTCAAGAGAACGGGGTTGAAGGAGTCGTACTCGTCGTGATCCAAATCACCGGAGATCCTAGTGTCGAACGGACGACACCTCCGCATTCAACACACGTACAGCCCAGTGACGTCTCCCATGCCTTGATCCAGCAAGGAGAGAGGGAGAGGTTGGGGAAGACTCCGTCCAACAGCAGCACGGCGGCGTGGTGGTGGTGGAGGAGCGTGGCAATCCTGCAGGGCTTCGCCAAGCACCGCGGGAGAGGAGGAGTACTTGGGAGAGGGGGAGGGCTGCGCCAGAACCTGGGGTGCGGCTACCCTCCCACCCCCCACATATATATAGGGGCAAAGGAGAGGGGGGCCGGCCCCCTCAAATCCAATCTGAGGAGGGGGCGGCGGCCAGGGGGTTGCCTTGCCCCCCAAGGCAAGGGGGGCGCCCCCCTTTAGGGTTTCCCCCAAGCCCTAGGCGCCTTGGGCCTTGGTGGGGGGTGCACCAGCCCACCTGGGGCTGGTCCCCTCCAACTCTTGGCCCATGCAGTCCTCTGGGGCCGGTGGCCCCACCTGGTGGACCCCCGGGACCCTCCCAATGGTCTCGGTATGTTACCGATAGTACCCGAAACTTTTCCGGTGACCAAAACAGGACTTCCCATATATAAATCTTTACCTCCGGACCATTTCGGAACTCCTCGTGACGTCCGAGATCTTATCCGGGACTCCGAACAACATTCGGTAACCACATACAAACTTCCTTTATAACCCTAGTGTCATCGAACCTTAAGTGTGTAGACCCTACGGGTTCGGGAACCATGCAGACATGACCGAGACGTTCTCCGGTCAATAACCAACAGCGGGATCTAGATACCCATGTTGGCTCCCACATGTTCCACGATGATCTCATCGGATGAACCACGATGTCAAGGACTCAATCAATCCCGTATTCAATTCCCTTTGTCTAGCGGTATTGTACTTGCCCGAGATTCGATCGTCGGTATGCCGATACCTTGTTCAATCTCGTTACCGACAAGTCTCTTTACCCGTTCCTTAACACATCATCCCGTGATCAACCCCTTGGTCACATTGTGCACATTATGATGATGTCCTACCGAGTGGGCCCAGAGATACCTCTTCGTTACACGGAGTGACAAATCCCAGTCTCGATTCGTGCCAACCCAACAGACACTTTCCGAGATACCTATAGTGTACCTTTATAGCCACCCAGTTACGTTGTGACGTTTGGTACACCCAAAGCATTCATACGGTATCCGGGAGTCGCACAATCTCATGGTCTAAGGAAATGATACTTGACATTAGAAAAGCTTTAGCATATGAACTACATGATCTTTGTGCTAGGCTTAGGATTGGGTCTTGTCCATCACATCATTCTTCTAATGATGTGATCCCGTTATCAATGACATCCAATGTCCATGGTCAGGAAACCGTAACCATCTGTTGATCAACGAGCTAGTCAACTAGAGGCTTACTAGGGACATGGTGTTGTCTATGTACCCACACATGTATCTGAGTTTCCTATCAATACAATTATAGCATGGGTAATAAACGATTATCATGAACAAGGAAATATAATAATAACTATTTTATTATTGCCTCTAGGGCATATTTCCAACAGTCTCCCACTTGCACTAGAGTCAATAATCTAGTTCACATCGCCATGTGATTAACACTCACAGGTCACATGGCCATGTGACCAACATCCAAAGAGTTTACTAGTGTCTAAACTAGTTCACATCATCATGTGATTAAGACTCAATGAGTTCTGGGGTTTGATCATGTTTTGCTCGTGAGAGAGGTTTTAGTCAATGGGTCTGCAACATTCAGATCCGTATGTACTTCGCAAATTTCTAGGTCATATTGTAAATGCTGCTTCCACGCTCCACTTGGAGCTATTCCAAATGGTTGCTCCACTATACGTATCCGGTTTGCTACTCAGAGTCATTCGGATAGGTGTTAAAGCTTGCATCGACGTAACCCTTTACGTTGAACTCTTTATCACCTTCATAATCGAGAAACATATCCTTATTCCTCTAAGGATAATTTTGACCGCTATCTGGTGATCCACTCCTTGATCACCTTTGTACCCTCTTGCCAGACATGTGGCAAGGCACACATCAGGTGCGGTACTCAGCATAGCATACTGTAGAGCCTACGTCTGAAGCATAGGGGACGACATTCATCCTTTCTCTCTCTTCTGCCGTGGTCGAGCTTTAAGTCTTAACTTCATACCTTGCAACTCAGGCAAGAACTCCTTCTTTGACTGATCCATCTTGAACACCTTCAAGATCATGTCAAGGTATATGCTTATTTGAAAGTACCATTAAGCGGTTTTTGATCTATCCTCAAAGATCATGATACTCAATGTTCAAGTAGCTTAATCCAGGTTTTCACTTGAAAAACACTTTTCAAATAACCCTATATGCTTTACAGAAAATTCTACGTCATTTCTGATCATCAATATGTCAACAACATATACTCATCAGAAATTCTATAGTGCTCCCACTCACTTCTTTGGAAATACAAATTTCTCATAAACTTTGTATAAACCAAAAATATTTGATCATCTCATCAAAGCGTACATTCCAACTCCGAGATGCTTACTCCAGTCCTTAGAAGGATAGCTGGAGCTAGCATACCTTTTAGCATCCTTAGGATCGACAGAAACCTCCTGATTGT